TTTGGGTCTCTCCCTTGATGTAAACTTTTCTCAGAAATGCGTGGAGGCATCTGGCTGGTTATATTTAAGAGTGAGCACTGCAGAGCTGACTGGAGGCCCTTTGCAAGGTGTGCAGGCAGGTGGGTGGGCTCAATCTGGGGGCTAGCTGCTGTTTTTCATCCGGAACCCCCTTCCCAAAATCAACATCAGTCGGTCTTTATCTTTGCTCTGTATTCTGAAGCAGGGCAGGGCTGGGCGTTTGAGGCTTACCATTCAGGAAGTCAACTTGAACTTAATTGCCCGGTCTTCCCTCCCTCCTGGAGTGAGGGGCATAGGGGATCTCTGCCTGTTGTTAGCCCCCTTCCCATTTTCCATGATGCCTCTAATTCCTGAACCTTCCTGAGGTCCTGCAGAACCCCACTTCCTATTGCAATGTCCACCCCCACCTCCCCACATTTAGATGCCCCCCCATCCTCTCTGTTAGAACTGTTCCTCCATTCGCTTTCTGTATTCACAGATTGTGATTTCGAGTCCCAGTTTGAGTCCCCCTTGCTTCCAACTTGAGTATGTGCTTGTGTTTCTTGTTTTATTTCTTGGTGTTTGCATGATTTTTGAGACAAGCAGCAGGGGAAAAAAATGTCTTGGCTTTGCCATCTTGAAGCCACCTAGAGCCCTGAAGCTCTTCATGCTCTTGTTTGTAGAAGCCTAACAGAGTTGGGTCATTTTCCCTAATATAGAAAGAGAAAGTAGGCCCTCAGCTGTAGAGTACTTTGTGGAAACCACCAGGTGTGATACCCACACACCCCAGAGGCCCACACCTGACCAACAGCCTCCAGCTGTTGCCACTTAGTGTCTTGCAGGGACCTTGGCATTCCCCAACCCCACCCCCACCCCCACCCCCTGCCCTGCCACGGTTTCCATTTCCTGCTCCTGTATGCAGGCCAAGTCCCCATCTTGGGAGACTGTATTTTAGCCAAGGGTGCCTATTTTTGACAATATGAGAATGTGTGTTTTGTTGTTTGTCTCATCTGTGGGAGACGGAGGGAGTTTCCAGAAGATCACTGGTTGCTAAAGCTGTGTGGTAGTATATCCCACAAAGGGATGGAAGAAGAAAGGGTTGAAAAGCTAAAGCTGCTTACATGGGAAGCACTTCCACTACCTTGATCTCCATCTCATATTCCTCACTGACCCCAGATGAGTGGGAGGGGGTTTAGAGTCCCTTGCAAGGCTTGGCGCCCTTGACAGCTGACTTTTGAACATCATCATCCCACTCTCCTTGCAGGCTCCCTCCCCAGCTCCCTCCCTCTGATGGCGGGTGTCCTGGGTGCCCCCTCTGCTGACATTTAGTTCCTGGGTTTTATTAGCTCAAATGAGGATTCTTATTTTTAAACAGCTGCCCTAGGTGTAGGACAATAGGCACAGAGGCTCTTTTTCTCTTCTAAGTGTAATCAATGATTTAAAAATCACCTGGTGCCACTTCCCAGTATACACCCCCCAAAAATTGAAAGCAGGGTCTTTGCAGAGCTATTTGCACATGTGTGTTCGCAGCAGTAGTATTCACAATAGCCAAAAGATGGAAGGAACCTAGATGTCTGTGGATAAACAAAATGTATATCCATGCGATGGAGTATTACTCAGCCTTACAAAGTAAGGAAATTCTGGGGCACCTGGGTGGCTCAGTGGGTTAAAGCCTCTGCCTTCAGCTCAGGTCATGATCCCAGGATCCTGGGATAGAGCCCCACATCGGGCTCTCTGCTCAGCAGGAGCCTGCTTCCTCCTCTCTCTCTCTCTCTGCCTGCTGCTCTGCCTACTTGTGATCTCTGTCAAATAAATAAATAAAATCTTAAAAAAAACAAAAAGTAAGGAAATTCTGACGCCTGGTCCACATGTGGACATTATGCCAAGTGACATAAACCAGTCACAGAAAGACAAATACTGTATGATTCCACTTGTATGAAGTACCTGGAGCAGTCTGATTCTTAGAGACTGAAAATAGAATGGTGGTTTCCAAGGGTTAGGGAGAAAGGAGATAGGAGTTGCTATTTCCTGGGTATAGAGTTTCAGTTTTACAAGATGAAAGCGTTTTGGAGATTGGTTGCACAACACTGTGAATGTCGTGCACTGTACACTTAGGAATGGCTATGATGGCAAATTTTATGTTATTTGTATTTTACTACAATGTAAAAAAAAATTCTCTGGAGGCTCATGACTTTAAAGAGCTTCTCCAGAAGCTATTGACCCCCAATTTTTTGGGTTTAGGGTCTTTTAAAATTTTTTTAAGAGAGGAAAAGAGGTGGGGGAGGGGCAGAAGGAGGGTGAGAGAGAGCCCAATGGGGGGCTTGAGCTTACAGCCCTGAGATCATGACCTGAACTGAAATCAAGAATTGGATGCTTACGGGTGCCTGGGTAGCTCCATTAGTCGAGCATCTGACTCTTGGTGTTGGCTCAGGTCATGATCTCAGGTCAAGAGAACAAGTTCTAAGTCAGGTTCTGGGCTCAGAGCCAAGTCTGCTTGAGGATTCTTTCCCTCTGCCCCTCCCTCACACGCACCTGTGTGCCTGTGCGCAAATGCTCTCTCAAATGAATAAATAACATCTTGTTTAAAAAGTCAGACTTTTAACCAACTGAGCCACCCAGGTGCCCCTGGCCCCAGTTCTTTTTGAAGACTATTGAATCTCCAACCCTTAGATGCCACTTTGATGGGGTCAGTTCCCTATTCTTTGGTGAACAAAGCAACAAAAAAGTGAAGCTGGAAGGAGGCAAGGACAAGGGAGATTCTTGCTGAGTCTTGAGAATTAAGAAACAGAAGAGTGGTCCATCTCTGAAGCCAGGGCATTTACCCTCAACCACCGTCCTTCTCCATTTGTAGCCCTCTGGGCTCACAGGCACTCAGGCCTTCATGTTACCAATGAAGAAACTGAGGCCCAAAGAGGGAGGAGCAGAGCCTCCAATGCAGGCTGGGTTTTGTGTGCTTTGCTTTACACCCTCCCACTAAGAAATGTGAGCTACGAGCTGTGGCCCACGAGGTGGTGATAACAGGGCTTCATCAGCATTACTGCCCCTCAGGCAAGGAGAGCGAGACAGGGTAACTGCCTAGGTCAGGCTGCAGTCAGATGGGGACAGGCAGGTAGGCCAAGGGCACCTTTTGGTATCTTACCATTTCTCTGCTGCTCACATTTCAGCCCTTGGTAGAAGGACCCCAACCTCATGCATTCAGACTCAAGAGCTCAAGGGTGCAAATGGGTTCCTCTCCTGGGGCTGCTCCTGGACTCCTGGTGCTGCTCCTGGAGAGCCCGGTGCTCAGCATTGAGACGTGGATCCCCACTGTTGGAATGTCACTCACTGTCGCCCTTAAGTGGGGAAAATCCTTCGGGTTTATTGACAAGGACATTCCTGAAGTCTTTAAATCATTGCTTCTAAACTCCAGCACCCATATTCTGTCTGCATTTTGTATTATACCTTGTCTTCTTTTTGTATATATCTTTAATATTCATCTCTATATCATTTACCTTTTTGACTTAGTTTTTGTTATTTTATTATATATATTATTTATAACATACATGCTATTATCATATCCAATGATATCCTATCCTATATTAAAAGGAAACTTGATATCACGACTATATATGGAAAACCAGATCCACTTACCATAAATAGAAGGTAACTATAAAAAGAAATATAATGACACCAAGACAGTTTTAAATTCTAGCTGGATTCCACTGCCTGCTGAAGGCTTTGAGGCGGAGGCCTGCTCTTTGTTGAAAAGGGAGAATCAGGAGTTTGAGGGAGGCATTGAAGAGACGTTACTAGTGCCATCCTGGTGCTTAGAGGTCATCCTGAGTAAACAGGGACCGAACATGAATCACTTCTCACTAGTCACTGTTCTTTGATGAAATCAGCTGGGGCACAAGAATCCTGAGTCCTGGACTATAGAAAATGTTCCTTTTTAAAGTATCAGGAAACCGTCCTCACAGGATGGGTCCTGGGTGTGGTTTAAGGGTGGTTAATAACTCCATGAGACTTGGTCCCCACCCAAGGGTGACGCTCAGGAAAGGAGAGTGAAGAGGGAGTGGACAGAACACAGACCAGGTGCAAGCCCTGTTTTCAGTGACACATCAGAGCAGGTATCACACGGAAGACGGGCTTAGCAGGAGAGGCTTTGGTGAGAAGACCCCATGGGTCACTCCTGTCCACAAAGCCCAGGTGGGAGAGTTCTCATTTTTACTAGTTTGGGGGATTCGTTCAACTTTCTCTTTGCTCATCTGTAAAATGAAATTACTGATTCTGGATATCCCATGCGGGTACTGTAAGTACTGAATTGAAAAACGAATTAAAATGTACCTTCTTGGGGAGCCTGGGTGGCTTAGTCAGTCAAGCATCTGCCTTTCGCTTAGGTCATGATCCCTAGGTCTTGGGATCGAGCCCCCCATCATCAGGCACCCTGCTCAGTGGGGAGTCTGCTTCTCCCTCTCCCTCTGGACCTCCTCCTGTGTGTGCTCTCTGTCAAATAAATAAAAAAACATGTATCTTCTATAATATTGGCTGTGATTGTCCTGAGTAATAATACTGAGCACTGATGAGGTAAGGGAGCTGATGTGCTTTAAGGAGAGAGCCCAGGGGAGAAGGTGCAGTGTGGTGGGCTGCCAGGCCTCTTCTTCCATCGGAGCGTCCTCATGATGGGGTTGGTGGTTCTGAGGCAAGAGAGGAGGGCTGCAGCGGGACACCTGAATCTGCCTTGCTCCTCCCTTTGTGTGTGTGTGTGTGTGTGTGTGTGTGTGTGCGCCTTTTTTTTTTTTTTAAAGTAAACTCTACCCCCAAGGTGGGCCTCAAACTCACAACCCTAAGATCAAGAGTCCTATGCTCTGCTGACTGAGCCCACCAGGCACCCCAGCCTCACTCCTCCTTGATCTGGCTTTTGCAGAAAAACCTGCCACCTCTGCTAGAGCCATGTCTCAAAGAAGCGGAAAATAAGCAGGCAGGAGGTTGGTGATGGCTTTTTCAATGTCCCTACCCCGCTGCAGGTACCAGGATCATCTACGACCGGAAGTTCTTGATGGAGTGTCGGAACTCCCCTGTGACCAAAACACCTCCGAGAGACCTGCCCACCATTCCCGGGGTCACCAGCCCTGCCAGTGAGGAGCCCCCCACAGAGCCCAGCCAGAACCACTTGCGCACCAGCCCGGAAGATAAGCCAGCCGGCGGTGAGTGACAGGGCTCGACCAGGCTCTTCCTCAGGAAGGGAACGTATGTGGCCAGTGGAGTCCCTTCAGAGAAGACATTTCAGGGATTCCACCTTCTGTGGAGCAGCTCAGAGACCAGACAAGGGTTGCCGGGAGGGTGGGTAGAAGTCTCAGCGGCACCAACCTTCCCCATGGAAGGGGTCCAAGAACTCCAGGAGAGGTGATTTGGCCCCATCAGGTAATCTAATTCATGGGGAGCTTGTTTGAAATGATGCTCAGGAAAGGAGAGTGAAGAGGGAGTGGCTAGAACACAGACCAGGTGCAAGCCCTGATTTTGGTGACACATCAGAGCAGGTGTCATAGGGGAGACAATTCAAACAACTGACATCAGCATGACCCTTGGTATAATTGTCCCTGAAGCATTTCCTTGTGTCTGCCACATTTGGGACACACCCAATGTGTGCATGTGCAGGACATGACTTATCAAAGATACAGTAAACTTGCCTTCTGGGAGATTATAGGCCTACAGGATCAGGAAGGCATCCAGGGTGCCTCCTGTCAGGGTAATGATCACTAGTGGATTCTTGACGAAGACCAATCAAAACAGTGCAACCCATTGTTTCTGCAGGTTTGACATGGGGCGGCTAGGTCCTTCCTGATATCTCACTCCACCTCCCCCCCCCCATTAGGGTGACCACCCCAGTGGAGGTGTGTGCGAATGCACTCTGTGTGGCCTCATGACTAGCTCACCAGAGTGGCTCAGCTCTCCTGCTGTGGGAGGATGAAGTATAAGCACTTGCAGACAACCTGAGTCACATCGGAACCTGCTGACCCTTCACCCGGAAGGCAGTGGACCAAGGCCAGACAGGAAGCAACTGGGACCCTGGACTGGGCTGGCCCTGCTGACAGCTGCAGAATCCATCTACCTAGGGCTTGCAGGATGTGATTCATAATTACCCTGGGGACCCCACAGTCTAGCCCGACAGCCCTTGCTTTGCCTTGCCTTGTAGACTTGGAGAGCACTGGGAAGGAGGGAGGGAGGGAGGTGAACCTGGGCACACACAGAGCAGTGTGAAGGATAGCTCCAGGCAGTGTGGTCACTGCCTTTCGTTGAAGGATGCAGAGAAGGATGGATAGATTCATGTGGTCAGTTCCATGGTACTTCCCTCCCACCCCCTTTTGCCTCAAAAGTTAAGGATGGAGATAGTCACACCTGACATTATGGAACCCTCACTACCTGCTGGCTGTGACAAGTCCCTCCCAGTTTCTGGAGCTTTGCTCACCCACAGCAAGTGCAGGGTTGGCCCAGAAGTGCCCCAGGCTGGCCAACCCTGAACCACAATAATGGCTTAAGAGTTCCGTTGTGCTGGTGAGGGATGGACATAATTTTTCATTTTGCTTAACAGGGTATTAGCCAAAGCCTCTAGCCTTGGACCATATATTTGGATAAATATAACCAGAAGAAGTGGCCAGTTTCCTTCTGGGGGCCGGGGCGGGCATCTCGGTACATAGAACCTCAAAGCAGCCTTATCTGAGAGATCATGAATGAGGCAGCTCCATTTAAGAAAACAACCTCCTGCGGCGTGAGTTGCTTGGAGATCTTTGTGGAAAGAGTTAGGGTGAAGGGCAGTGAGTAGCTGAATTACCAAAATAACCCCTTCACTGCAGAGTCAGCCTAGTCAATGGGTATTTGGACATATGCCTCGTGGGTTGTGTTACGAACTTCAAAACCACAGTTGGGACACATGCTTGAAAAAGGTTTTTGTTTCAGGAATATTCTTCTGTGAGGTTATATTTATATCAAAGTCAAGTAACCATTCATTCTTATTAAGAGCAATAAAAACGGTACAAAAATCAGGACTGTTCCTTCTCCTGTGGGGAGACCCAGGCTCTACTCTTCCTTTAGGATTGGGGAAAAGAGTACAGCTGGACCTTCAGGCCTGTTTCCAGGAAATCCTACTGGAGTCCCGCCCTCCCTCCATTCTCCTTCGCCTCCACTCTTTTAGGAACAACAAAATGAAAAATAACGCCTCTCCCTGGCCTCTAAAATATGAGCCCTACCATTCACCTGTTGCTTACTGCCCCTTCTCTCCCTAGGTGAAGAGTCACAGTTTGAAATGGACATTTAAAGGACCAGCCGTTGAATCGAGCAATGCCTAGGGGCCCCCCTGGCCCTTCTCGGGAGAAAAGTCACACCAGCCAGGCCTTTTGCAAGTCATAATCCTGGGCAGGCATTGAGTATGGGGTCGGCCATCCCGGCCCTCTGCTTCCTCATTCAGGGCACCTGCTCCCCCTTCCTCTTCGAGAACACCAGCGGATACCTCTACGTGCCTCCCTTCAGGCGGGAGCTGCCACCCTAAGGGGAGTGACTCTCGTGGGCACAGCCTGCAGCCCAGGGCCAGGATTGGATGTGGAGGAGCCCTTCTGAGTGATTATCCAGCTCTTCCCGCCCCAGCCTCTGGGGGCGCACCCACCCCTTCCTTAGGTTGGTGTCCCCTCCTTCCCCAAGAGAGGAAATAAAAGCCACCTTCGCCCTAGGGCCAAGAGTTGGCCCCTGTCTGAGCTCTTTTCAACTCCATCCGGATAACTAACACCAACTACTGTTTGTACTTCTAAGCACTTTCCTATATGTTATCTCGCTTGATTCTCACACTGAACCTAGGAGGTAAGTAGACGAAGTGTTATCCTCATTGTATAGCTCAGGAGACTGGCTCAGAGAAGTAAAACACACACCAGTAAATGACAGATGGGACTGGCTTTGAGCTGCGTGCTGCTCTCCAGCTCCTGTTCAGTGGTAGGTAAAATTTCTTCTCTGGGCTTTGTCCCCTAAGCCTGTCAGGTCTTGCTGTCACCTTCGTTCTGTGGCCCATTCCCTGCAAGAGTCCAGGGGAAGAACCTGAGCCTTGCATGATATAGCATGTCTTTGACCCACGCCCCCCCTTCTGTTTGTCCAGTGATCCCTTTGTGTGCGCCGTCTGGGGGACACAAACATGAGATAAGTGCTCTGTCTTGAGGATTTCACTAAAGCGTAAGATTTGCCCAAAAGGAAAGGGAGTATAAAAGAGATCGTATTAGGATCGGTTACCAGAGAATGGCCCATGCAAGTAGAGGCTCCATGGAGGTGATGCTGCAGCTGGGATCCTGAGGAGGGGTGGGCGGAGGAGAGCTGGGGGTCCACTATGGCCCAGGTCGAGTGGTCTTGGGGAACCAGGGTGTATAAGGACAAGACATCAACTTGCCCACTTTAGCCAGAGCCAGCAATTTGTGTGGTTGGGGGCTTGTATAAATGGCCAGAAAAGAGCCAGATTTCTAAGGGCCTTGAATGCCGGGCAGAGGGCTTGCTGAAAAGCAGCAGGTGTTTCTCATTACAGGGTATGCTAGGGGTGGATGGCCTTTGGCCAAGAGGCGATGGCTGACTTAGACCTTACAGTTCTGGACTCCTAGCACTTGTCAGTCTGCCATTTGGGGGAGTAGCAGGGCTTAGTGGTCACAGTCTTCGTCTGGTCTTTCCTACAGCTGAGTTGGAGTCCCCTCCCCTCACAAGGACTGAAGGCAGCTGGAATCCATGTGCCTGGTGAGGGCATGCAGAAGGGCCCAGCTCTGGCTGCCTGCTGGCTTCAGGCCAGCAGCATACCCTTTTCCTATAGATACAAAGGGACATAGTGGAGAGGCCTCCGCCAGAGCAAAGACAGCAACTAAACCTTCAGCTAGAATTGGGATAAAGACCAGCCGGCCTTCCCCGTCCCTCAGTTTCCCAGTAAAAGCATCCAACCCGAGGTCTTGCTCACAAGTCTACATGATACGACCATTCCCCTTGGTCCTATATCTTCTAGTCCAAGAGAGGGTAAAAATAGGCTTCTCTGACAATAAGAAAATCATTTACAAGTTGTACGCCTTTCCCACTGAGCACTAGTATCCTCCAGAAAACCCAGATGTTTTTCTTTTTACAAAGATTTATTTTAGAGCAAGCATAAGTGGTGGTGGGGGGCAAAGGGAGGGAGAATTCTCAAGCAGACTCCCCACTAAGCATAGAGCCTGATGGGAAGGGGTGGGTGGGGCCCGATTCCGGGACCGTGAGATCATGACCCAAGCTGAAATCCAGAGCCTGCTGCTTCACTGACCGAGACACCCAGGCACCTCTCTTGAGCATCATTTTAGCTGGGTACTATGAAGTGGCAAAGATCTATGACAGAAGGCTCCCCGTGGTCAAATTTACCATCCCAGTGTACTGAGTCTTAAAGCTTTTGTAGGGACGCCCTGTGAAACCATCCGACTTTGGCTTGGGAACCCAGGGACAACTCGGGGACAGCCGCCACATGCTGTGAGCCAAGGAATACAAAGACGAGGTATTACCGCCTGGTCTGGAGGTGCAAGATACTGTGGGTAGCAGGACACCTAGAAAGGTCATAAAGCAGTACTTCCGTGGTTGTCCAGTGTGTGGCAGCTGTGCAGATGCCATAGGATAAGGGAATCTGAGAAACCTTCAGACAGGAGGAGGGACTTTATAGGACCCTATGTAGGATAGGACTTGAATTTAGGAAGGGCCTTCCTGGGTCAGAAATGGCCAAGGGACTGGGGCCAAGAGCAGTTTAGCTGCAGGAATATCAAAGCTGGTGAGTTTTCTGCATGTGGATGAAGCAGCTGCAATGGAGTGGAGTCTGCCATACTCTCTCCTGGGAAAGGAGGCTTGACGGCACTTGGTGGAAGGAGGAGAGACGTGACCTGGAGGTTTCCGGTCCAGGTGGCCCCGAAGAGAGGTCAGAAGGGAATGCCGGGTTAGCAGTTGGCACCAAGTAAACAGCAAGAAGGCCAAAACCAGAACCTTGGGGAATGTTCCCAGGGAGCACGAGTGCAGTAGGGACCTGAACCGCCAATCATTTTCCAACTTCCTTGCTGCTGTTGGTACAGCTGTGGGCATCCCTCCGACTCCCAGGAAGCCAGATAAGGGATAAGGTCATCTTTCTACCAGTACCCCTTCATGAGACATTCACCATGGAAATGACTCAAGGAAGGGCCCAAGGACACAGCCAAATCAAGGAATCCCTTGGACTGAAAGCCCGTACCTCAGGAGAGGCAGGGTTCATTCATAGACCTTCAAGTGGTCCTTTCCAACCTCAGTCTGATTTAACAGGCCTTTGCTAAGCCTCTAATCCATACCCAGCAAGGTGCTAGGCCTTGAGGCAATACAGGAGAATGTCAAGACCACCACCTGAGGACAAAACTGAGGCATGATTAAGTGCTTGTAAGCAGAGTGAGAGCAGGGCAGGAGCAGATGAAGGCTGTGGGCTGGGTGGGCTGCAGGGGAGACTGCAGGAGCAAAGGCTGGGTGTCTGGAACGGATAGAGTGTGCATAGGAATATCATGTGAATATCATGGGAGGCTCCTGTGCGTTCCATAGCACAAGGTAAATTTAGGTAGCATTAAGATTCAGTTATTTGTGGGGGGAGGGAAGTCATTGGTTGAATGCCTTTTGTATGCCTGGAGCTTTACTACAATCTTATTCATGGCCCCGAGAATGTAAGGTAGACTTTTTTCTTTTTTTTAAGGTAGATGTTTTTAATCCCATTTTACTTATGTCCGTGGTGGCTATGTGTCAGAATTAGGATTCTAGCTTCTGTCTGTCCAGCTCCAAAGCCCATGCATGCTCTTTAGATCGTACTGGTTGGAACTGAGGTTGGGTTCTGTAGATTCTGAGCCCTAGACAACTAGGACATCGGTTGGAGGTATTAGAATAAGGCAGTGCCACACCAGTGCTCAGGTGAATCAGGTGAAGGTAACTAGAGCCCAGCAGTCCTTCGAATGTTCAGTGGATTGGATGGGGTTGAAAACCAAGGAGTGAAAGAAGATAGATTTCATGCTTTTATTTATGCAAGGGCTATTTATTGAGTGCCAACTGTATGCCTATGTGCGGGCATTCAGGCACTGGAGACAGAGCAGTGGGCATAACAGAGCTCTCTCCTTTCCTGGTGCTGACCTCACGGAGGTAACCTATGTTTAGAAATTGAGGCTATGTGTGATTCTTGTCTTGTGTATTCAGCTTTCCTTGCTAAAATCACAAACCTGGCCTTCTCAAAATAAGGTTCAGAACTTAGCCAACCCTCCCTGTCCTCCTAAGCAGAGGACACATGCCCCTTGCTGTGGGACGATGAATCCTGCAAGGAAGAGTCAGCTCCCCAGTGACAGGCAGTAGACACCTCAGTTTCTGAAAATAACTAGGACAAAGCCTCCCTCCTCAACTGCAGCAGGTTAAATCAACATGAGAAGGGGAGAAAACGGCAGATGAATTGGGGGAAAGTATAACCCCTGAAGATTAGGTTTTCTTGAATGTAGACATTCCAAAGAATACGACATGCAGGTATCCTGTAGGGAGAGAGGGGACCCCATGGCCAGACTGGAAATGAACCCCTCCCTCCCCCAGCTGTTCAGAGGCCATAGCCCAGGGCGCTGGGGTTTGTTGTTGTTGTTGTTGTTGTTTGCTTCTTTAAGATTTTATTTGTTTATTTGACAGAGAGAGATCACAAGTAGGCAGAGAGGCAGGCAGAGAGAGAGAGAGAGAGAGAGAGGAGGAAGCAGGCTCCCTGCTGAGCAGAGAGCCCGATATGGGGCTCCATCCCAGGACCCTGGGATCATGACCTGAGCCGAAGGCAGAGGCTTTAACCCACTGAGCCACCCAGGCGCCCCTCAGGGCGCTGGTTTTTAAAGGAAGACCTTTGAGCTGACATTTTTTCCTTATTCTCAGGTTCTCTAGGAAAGGTTTTTGAGTTTTCCAGCTGCAATATTCCAGTTTGTGCTGCCCCCTGCTGGAAGAGTTCATTAAAACAAGGAAGGAAGCCTACATCTCTCTTACTCTGTTCCATTCAGTTAGGTGAGGGAAAGTGACGGTGCTACAGGTATTGTAGACCTAAACACACTTCTTCACATTATCTCAAGATTATGCGACTGGCCCCTCATTCTCTGAGAAGAATACTGAGGGGCAAGTATTCCGGACAGTGTGACCAGAGGTGTATCAGGGGCAGAACCAGGGGTAGCGTAGAACACTTCTGCACTGCTCAGACCTCGTTTGGGACAAGCTAGTGACAACCTGTCTCTCCCCCTCCAACCAAATACAGCCATGCATGCCATCGTACTGCCTTCAGTCCTCAACTCACCACTCACCAACAGTAGCCAGGTGGCTCCATCCACTTAGGAGCCAAATTTACTCCTGCTTGGCTTCTGAACTTTAATCTTCACTATTAGGTTGCATTTAAACCTTTTCTGCATCACTCCACCCTAACATAGGAGAAACAAGACTGCCTTCCAAAAGGACAGGACTCTGAACTGTTAAAAAACACTTTCCTTAGGCTGTATCAGGATAGGCTCAGATTTGCACTGGAATCATGGACATAAATGTAGTTGTCGCTCAGGCCATCCCCCAACTCCTGGGACAGTTTCAGCTCCTGAGCCCTTCAAGAACCACCAAGAAGCCCATCCAGAGCTGTGTTTCCTGGCACCTGAGCTGACCTTCTTAGCTCAGGCAAGGGGCATGTACAACCTACTAGAAAGCTCT